TAACCTAGTTGTCTGAAACTAGCCATAACAACTTCTTTCTAGATAGGTCTCCTGAGGCCAGGGAAACAAAAGCAAAAATAATTTATTGGATTGTTATCAAAATAAAAAGCTTCTGCACAGCAAAGAAAACAATCAACAAAACTAAAGGCAACCTATGAAATGACAGATGATGTTTGTAGATAACATATATGAGTTAGTATCTAAAATCAGTAAAGAACTACTCAAACTCAACATCCAAAAACAAGTCATCCCATTAACAAATGGGCAGAAGACATGAATAGACATTTGTCCAAAGAAGACATACAGATGACCAACAGGCACATGTTATAACATCACTCATCATCTGGGAAATATAAATCAAAACTACAATGAGATATATCACACCAGTCAGAATGGTTAAAATTAACACAGGAAACGGGTGTTGGCAAGGATGCAAAGAAAAAGGAACCCTTGTACACCATTAATGGTAATGCAAACTGATGCAGCCACTATGGAAAACAGCATGAAGTTTCCTCAAAAAGTTAAAAACAGAACTACTCTATGATCCAGCAATTGTACTAGTAGGTATTTACCCAATAGATACAAAAATACTGATTCGAAGGGATGCATGCACCCCAATGTTTATATATCATTATCAACAATAACCCAAATCTGGAGGAGCCCAAATGTCCATAGACTGACAAACGGATAAAGAAGGTATGGTGTGTGTGTGTATGTGTGTGTGTATAACGGGATACTACTCAGATTTTAAAAAAGAATAAAATCTTTGGGCACCTGGGTGGCTCAGTCTTTAAAGCGTCTGACTTGATTTTGATTCAGGTCATGATCTCACGGTTTATGAGACTGAGTCTTGCATCAGCACACAGCCTGCTTGGGATTCTCTTTCTCCCTCTCTCTGTCCCTTCCCTGCTCACGTGCCTCTCTCTCTCAAATAAACAAACATTAAAAAGAAAGAATAAAAAAATGACACCTTGCCATTTACAACAGCATGGATGGGCCCTGCTAAGCAAAATAAGTCAGTCAGAAAAAGATAAACACCCTATAATTTCAATCATATGTGGAATTTAAGACACAAAATCGGGGCACCTGGGGGGCTCAGTCAGTTAAGCATCTGACTTCAGCTCAGGTCTTGATCTCGCGGTTTGTAGGTAGAGCCCTGCATCGGACTCTGTGCTGACAGCTAGCTCAGAGACTGGAGCCTGTTTCGGATTCTGTCTCCCTCTCTCTCTGGCCCTCCCCTACTCATGCTATCTCTCTCTCTCTCTCAGAAATAAATAAAACATTAAAAAAAGAAAAGAAAAGTAAAACAAATGAACACAAAGGAAAAAAAAAGAGGAGTGTCTGGGTGGCTCAGCTGGTTAAGCATCTGACTTGATTTCCACTCAGATCATGATCTCTCGGGTTCATGGGTTGGAGCCCCACATGGAGCCATGCACTGACAGTGTGAAGCCTGCTTGGGATTCTTTTTCTCTCTGTGTGCATCCCCCCACCACTGAAAATAAATAAACTTAAAAAAAAAAAAAAAAACTTGAGGAAAATTCCTAAGTACAGAGTGGAAAAACTAATCTTAAATGATAATACCTCACTCATTCATATGAAAGGACTCATGGCTTATTAACCTTTTGTATAAGATCAAGTGTAACATATGAAAGGACTAATAATGGAAGGAGTGTTAGTACAACGATTTTCAAATTATGTTCTGAGAGCCTAATAAGCTCATTTTAGGGAATAAACAGGGGATGTCTAACAAAGAACTCTTACATGTTTTATTTATTAGACTTTTGAATAAAATTTTTTTGCACAGGAGTTTTATTCCTGAAAACAGTTTGAAAACCATCACCTGAAAGCTAAAGGATTTTAGACTTATTCAAAGCATTAGCAAGAGAAATGGGGATATTTAGGCTATATGGGGGATATTAGGCTAACCAGGCCAGGCAAAAGTTGTTTTTGATAATAACACACAACTGTACTTGGTAATAAGGATTCTAAAACTGCACACCATATTTTAATACTCTCAACTGTACACTGAAAGTAGAAGCAGTAAATATATTAGAAATACTCCAGCGTTTTAGGTCAGAAGGTAGAAGTTCAAATCCAGACACTGTCATTGACTAGCTATGTATTCCTGGCTTATTTAATTAACTTCTCTGAGCCTCAGTATCCTCCTTTGTAAAATAAGAGCTATAATGCCTTATTTTACAGAGCTGTTTTAAGATCAAGTAAGAGAATATATTTAAAGCACCCAATACCTGACACACTGAAAGCATTCAATAATAAATGACAACTATTATCATTACTAAAAAATATTTTATATCTTAACTTACTTTTAAAAAGCACCCACCCAACATATGGCATATAGAAAGTATTCAATAATAAATATGACAGCTATTATCATTACTAATAAAATATTTTGCATCTTATTTTAGGGGAAAAATTACTCTAATAGATTCATCCATCAGTTAATAGGGGAAAACATAACAGAAAAATAAAGAATATTATACTAGTTGGCTCCTCTGTTCATCCTGTGAAATAGCCTAAAAACTATTTTTTCCCCATCTTCAAGGCACATGATTATGGCTATAATATGAGTACTTGGAATAGATTTGTGCAATCACAGTAGCATTCTTGTAAATGGTTAGGTTACTTCAAAAGTCAATGAATGCTGATATTTTAATTAAGCATCTGCTTATAAAACAGGCTACAGAGTAGAAACAGACTGTTTTACTATAAGAAATTTTTAATATTATAAAAATTTAGAAGTTTTAAATTCAGACCCTTCAACTTATATATCCCTGTTGTCTTTGGCTTGTGTTGTTTCCTAGTGAACAGTTCTCTCTCTGCCAGTAAAAATCCTTTCAAGAACAAGCTCAAATCCAATCTTCTCCAAATATCCATGATCACTGGACAGTAGTCAGTTAATCATGCTCCTAAACATAAAACACATATTATCATTCACACCAACTGGTGTCAAACCCTTTAAAGTTTGGGGCACGTGGGTGGCTGAGTTGGTTAGGTGCCCAACTTTGGCTCAGGTCATGATCTTACAGTTTATGAGTTTGAGCCCCGCATCAGGATCTTTGGTAACAGCTCAGAGCCTGGAGCCTGCTTCTGATTCTGTGTCTCCCTCTTTCTGCCCTTCTGCTCATGCTCTGTATGTGTATCTCTCTCTCAAAAGTAAATAAACATTTAAAAAAATATATAAAGTTCATAATGCACTTTCACATTTTATTTATCTTATTTGTGCCTGAAAAAGCCCTGACTAAAGTAGAGTGAGAATTAAAATTCTATCTCCTGTTGACTGACTCCAGGCCTGGAAAATAAATGCATTAAATAAGAAAAATTTAACCACCATTTTAATAACATAAGAAAACTGAAATGTAAAGACTTGACAAAGACTACAAAAATCGTAACAGCAGTTGAAATCTACATCTTCATCATCATCCTACTTACTGTTCAGGCTAAAGTCTCTCCCTATAACAGAAAACTTACAAGTAGACCAGGAGTCATGTCCTTACTCCCAAGAAGTTTCAAGAATCCACTTTTTCTATTAATAAAGTCCCTTTGTTTTGTAACACCAGACTTAAGATAACAATTTTTCTTGTTTCTTTTGATTCTTACCTATTTTACTAACTAGATTTTTATAAAGTATATATGTGACAAAGAAGTAAATATGAACTAAATATTATCTAAATGGAAAAGCATTTTAGGCACTAATATTACAATAAAAAAATTAGGGGGGTGGGATGCCTGGGTGGCTCAGTCAGTTGGGCATTCAACTTCGGCTCAGGTCATGATCACACAGTTCATGGGCTCAAGCCCTGCATACGGCTCTGTGCTGACAGCTAGCTCAGAGCCTGGTTCCGGTTTCAGATTCTGTTATCTCCCTCTCTCTCTGACCCTCCCCTGCTTGCGCTCTCTCTCTCTGACTCTCAAAAAGAAATAAAGAACATTAAAGAAAAAATTATTTTAATTCGGGGAGAAGGGCACCTGGGTGGCTCAGTAGGTTGAATGTCCGACTTCAGCTCAGGTCATGATCTCGCGGCTGACGAGTTCAAGCCCCACATAGGATTCTATGCTTACAACTCAGAGCCTGGAGCCTGCTTCGGATTGTGTCTCTCTCTCTCTATACCCAGGCCCCCCGACCTCATTCATGCTCTGTCTCCCTCTGTCTCAAAACTAAATAAACATTAAAAAAATGTTTTTAAAGTAAGTGTGCTTGTATTTCTGCCTTGCTTTAAAAAAAAATGGGGGGAGGGTTTGGTAGATTCTCGACACCGATCTGTTAGTAAATAATCTAAAAATTCCCCTAAATCTTATTTGTCTCTATTTAGTCAAATATTTGAAATATACCAAAACTGCTAAGATACAAAGCTTAATTGTCTTGATTACTGAGAATTTTCAATTAGATGAAATTCTTTCCTAAATTTATAATTTAAGTTAATAAAGAACTATTTTACTATACAGTCTAAAAACTTTAATTCTACTATAACAGAGAAATTTCATATTCCTCCAAAGGGCATTTACTGAGTACTGCCTATATACAAATTTATTGTACAGCTTCATAACAGCACTCTATAATCATATGTAACTACAATATCTAAAGCCTTTACTGAATAGGAAGACACTACTCTAATTAAGAAATCAACTGTAACCATATGCTTTTTCATATGAGTCACAGAAATTAATTAATACTTCTTTAATGGAGTATTTAGGGTGTCAGAGGGCTTCTCTAACTTACAGTAATTATTTTATAATTTTTCAGCCCACTTTTAATGCCAAGTGAGAACTCAAAGTTGGTTAGCCTACCTAATTAACAAATAAAATTAAAATGTTTTATTAATAAATAAGATTTTACTTAAAACCATTCAAAGAGGAAAAAAATCACCCAAGAAAGGCATTCATGAACTATTAGTGCCATTTCACCTTATAAGAAAGTCAATTACATATACATATTCATGAAGTTTCTTCTTATAATGTTGTTTAAAAGTGCTAAAACCAACCTGGTATAGAAAGTGTTGGTCCCCCTTGGTAATGTGATGATCCCGTATCCTGGGTCAAATCAAATAGTAACTCTGAAGAATTATTAGATACAACTCGTGACGAGTTCGTTATATAACCCTGTTAAAATATTTCAAAGGAAGATTATTACACTTATACAGCACAGTTACAATCATTTTGTTTCATAAACTTTTCTAAAGGTAAATTTAACTGTATGTCAATATTCTAAGGATAGCTTTTGATGACTCAACTAGTAATTAATAAGTTATAAAACACAAAGGTAATTATTACTGTCAAAACTACCATCTACTAAAACGGAAAGTAAGCTATTACTTACAGTTGGTTTGTTCCTAACTAGCCAATTAAAACAGGGCAAATTTTAGTCTGATTTTTTTTAAGATAAAGGAAACATATATTCTCATTTTTAGATCAAAAAGACTGATACACTTCAGAGGGTTATGAAAAATGCAGTATTCCTATCAAAGAGCAAAGAGTAAAACTTACCAAAATCTTTGGGTAAAAGGAAAAAAATGGAAAAACATACTGACATAGCTACAAATTGAAAAGCTTCTGTATCTCTATAACCCCACACCCCCAGACAAAATATTACGGCAAACAAACTAGGAATCTATCTACAGTGTTGTGCATCAAGATTAGGGGTGAATATATCACATGGGTTGAATTTGGGAATCATCTTATTTGGAAAAATTTATAAGGCAAGGGCCAGGAAAAGAAAGAACAGATTCCCCCATGTCCACCCCCTCCCCCCAACTCTTGCTATCATTCCACAGAAAGCCATGCTAGACCACATAATCTCCCATCTCATAGGGCAAATATGAAAGCTGCCTGGTCAACAGGATAAAGAAATAAAAAAGCCAGGCAAACAGGGTTTAAAATGGAAGCTGTTTATAAGAATTATCTGGGCCAGCTGCTCTGCTCCTGGAAGCCTTAGGGCTCAAGGGAAGTTGCAGCCTTTCCATCAAGAGAAAAGATCGTCCCAGCTAGCAGGATGATCTCAAGAGAGGAGTGAAAAGTATAAGATCAATCATAATGTAGTCAATATAAGGTAATATAAATTTATGTTAGCACACCTATATATTTAATACAATTATGCAAAGTATTATCAATCTAGGGACATATACTCCAATACCATTATATATTAAATATACTGATAAACATAGCACAAAATATATTCCAATGCTACTTTTAAAAGACCATCATTGTAGACAGTAAGTGCTCAGAGTGAGTTTTGGACCATTCTATTTGTCACAAGATAGAACAAGCAAAAGGTTTAAGATTAACAATGCTTAAATATCAAAAGGGAAGGGCGCCTGGGTGGCTCACTTGGTTAAGCATCTGACTTCAGCTCACGTCATGATCTCCTGGTTCATGAGTTGGAGGCCTGCACTGTCAGTGCAGAGCCTGCCTGGGATTTCTCCCTCTCTCTGCCCCTTCCCCATTTACTCTCTCTCTTTTAAAATAAAGTTTTTTTAAAAAGTCAAAAGGGAAAAAGTCACTTTAAGAGAAAAATGGATATAAACTGAGACATTTCAAAAACAAAATACAAATGACCCATGCATACAAAAACTTTTTTCCAACTTACTATTCAAAGAAATAAAAATAAAGATGATGTCAATTTTTAAGTACTGAACTGACACTGCTTTCAAGATGATAATATCTAATACAAAATAACTGGCTACTCATCTTAAAAATATTCAAGTCATAAGGGGTGCCTGGGTGGCTCAGTCAGTTATGTGTCTGACTTCGGCTCAGGTCCTGATCTCATGGGTTTGAGCTCCGTGTTTAGCTCTGCACTGACAGCTCAGAGCCTCGAGCCTGCTTCAGATTCTCTTTCTCCCTCTCTCTCTGCTTCTCTCTCACTTGTGCTCTTTCTCAATAATAAACATTAAAAAATATATATTCAAGTCATCAAAGAAAAAGAATTATAGAAAACTAAGAGGACACTTGGAAGAAGGTGTGATCCTGAATAAGATCCTAGAAATGAAAAATGACATTAATGGAAACACTGGTAAAATTCAGGTTAGGTTGAAATTTACTTAATGTTAATTACCTGATTATGATATGGAAGATGTTGATATGGAAGACGTTAGCATCAGGGGAAAGTAGGTTAGGGTTATAGAACTCTTAGTATTATTTTTCTTATAAGTCTAAGATTAGCTTGAAATAAAAATTTAAGTATTAAAAAGTAATGGTATGGAATACTACATGGCAATGAGAAAGAATGAAGTCTTGCCATGTGTAGCAACATGGATGGACCTTGAGGGTGTTATGCTGAGCAAAATAAGTCAGGCGGAGAAGGACAAATATCATATGTTTGCACATAAACGAGGATTAGGAGGAACTTAACTGAGGAACAAGGGGGAGAAGTAGGGGGGAAATGGTGGGGGAAAGGGAGAGAGGCAAACCATGAGACTCTTGAATGCTGACAAAAACTGAGGACTGATGGATGTTGGGGGGAGGGAGGGATGGGCATTGAGGAGGACACTTGTGGGGATGAGCACTGGGTGTTATGTGGAAACTAATTTAACAATAAACTATTTGTAAAAAAATAAAAATAAATAAACTCAGAACCTTTTCAACATGAAAAAAAAAAGCAATGGTAACATTCACTATTGGCAAAGTAGAGGTTATATTTTAATACAAACTTTTTGCATGAAAATGTTGGTAGTAGCTATCAAAGGCTTTATGTAAGTTCATATCCTTTGGTCCAACTATTCCACTTTAAAAATGTATGCTAAGGGGGTGCCTGGGTGGCTTAGTCGGTTAAGCGTCCGACTTTCACTTAGGTCATGATCTCGCGGTTCATGGGTTCGAGCCCTGTGTCAGGCTCTGTCCCGACTGCCAGCTCAGAGCCTGGAGCCTGTTTCAGAGTCTGTATCTCCCTCTCTCTCTGACCCTCCCCTGCTCACGCTATCTCTCTCTCTCTCCTAGAAATAAATAAAAATATTTAAAAAAATAAAAAGAATAAAAATGTATGCTAAGGAAATTAAGGTGTTTAATGAGAATTATTTTTAATAGCAAAAAATTAAAATCTGTATGTCCAACAAAAGAATGGTTAAATAAATTATGATAGACTATCATGTAGCCCCTATGTTTTTCAGAAATATCCAATGACATAACCCCAGTAGAACGTTCAGAGAAAAAACAGGAATACATGTCTATGTAAACAGTATGGTCCTGATTTATAAACTCTATACTCCTTCTCTGGGGGGGAGGGGGAGGGAATCAAAATAGAGTATGTACCCTTCTCTGTCTCTTTGTAAACTTCTCCCCAAAATACATATTAAAAATAGAAACATAAAGGTTTTCTTTGGTTTGTACTTATTAACTGAGGGAGAATTAAGTTTTCAGAATTTTCGTTTGCTACTAACTTTTCTATTGACATTTATTGTTTCATTATGGAAACAAAATGAGTGAAGGGAGTCAAAAGGTACAAACTTTCAGTTATAAAATAAATTAGTCATGGGAATATATACATACATGTATATATGCATGGGAACTGTAGATAATAATACTGTATAGCATATTTGAAAATTGCAATAAGAGTAGATTTTAAAATTTCTCATCACAAGAAAAAAATTCTGTAACTACATATGGTGATGGATGTTAACTAGATTGTGAACATTGTTATATAAATGTCATTGTTATGTTGTATACCTGAAATATAATTACTAAATAAATATTGTTTAAAAAAAGAAGCTATGGAAACAAGTATGTAAGTAACTCAAACCACTTCTAGAATTTGAGAAGTAACAGGTAAATATCTTCATCTGAGTCTTAAAATTTAATATAAAAAAATCAGTAATCCCATGACTTCACTGTAAAAAAGCACAATCTTATTTCATATTTTCTCAAAATATTTACACTTTAAAAATGGAAAATTTTGGGGGCGCCTGGGTGGCTTAGTCGGTTAAGCGTCCGACTTTCGCTTAGGTCATGATCTCACGGTTTGTGGGTTCGAGCCCCGCATCGGGCTCTGTGCTGACTGCCAGCTCAGAGCCTGGAGCCTGTTTCAGTCTGCGACTCCCTCTCTCTCTGACCCTCCCCTGCTCACGCTGTGTGTGTCTCTCTCTCTCCTAGAAATAAATAAAACACTTAAAAAAAAAAAAGGAAAATTTTTTCCACTTATGTTTTCCAAGATAGTTCTTTAACAGAAATATAAAGTTAATGCTGTTAACACTTTATTAGGAAACTCTGATTAATTAAGCTCCACAATTTCAGAGAACAGGCACATAGTATTCAACAATGACTGGTTAAAATAATTCCCCAACAGGGAATTTTTAATGTCTTACAAAACAGTTCTAAAAGATATCAAATGCAATAGTAAGGGTAAAATAGATATTAGACTGGGATTCAGAAGACTGGCACATTTAACAATGTATCCTTCAGCAAGTCACTTCTGACCTTCAAGTTCTTCACCTTTCAAACTAATAATAGCCACATTGTGTTTTTTTGTTTGTTTGTTTGTTTTTTGTTTTTTACAAATAGTTTATTGTCAAGTTGGTTTCCATATAACACCCAGTGCTCATCCCCACAAGTGCCCTCCCCTATGCCCATCTCCCCACTCCCTCCCCACACACATCAGTCCTCAGTTTGTTCTCAGCATTCAAGAGCCTCTCATGGTTTGCCTCTCTCCCTCTCCCCCACTATTTCCTCCCTTCTTTTCCCCCACGGTCCTCCATTAAGTTCCTCCTAATCCACTTATATGTGCAAACATATGGTATTTGTCCTTCTCTGCCTGACTTATTTCACTCAGCATAACACCCTCAAGGTCCATCCATGTTGCTACACATGGCCAGATTTCATTCTTTCTCATTGCCATGTAGTATTTCATTGTATAGATAAACCACATCTTCTTGATCCATTTATCCGTTGATGGACACTAAGGCTCTTTCCATGTTTTGGCTATTGTTGAGAGTGCTGCTATGAACATTGGGGTACATGTGCCCCTATGCATCAGCACTCCTGTATCCCTTGGGTAAATTCCTAGCAGTGCTATTGCTGGGTCACAGGGGAGTTCATAGCAGCCACATTGTGTTTTAAATGTACTTCATGATACATGTATTAAATCAAGTAGTTGTCCCATTATTTAAACCTAACATTATACCCTATTTAATAAATAGGTAAACTAAGGTTACGTGTGATTACATAAGGCTTCCCAACACAGCCTGCTTGTTACTGATGTAGCTGTAATTAGAATCCAGGGGCTTATTTCAAAGCCTATACCCTTAAGCTGTATAACACTAACTTTATTATAAGTGATAATAATATATCCCTGCCATCTGCAAGAGATCTGAAAAAGTTGTTGAGGTATAGAGATATTGCATGAAAAAGTAAGCGCGCACGCACACACACACACGCACGCACACAACATAAAATGAAAAACTGTAATTATAATTTATTAAAAACAGTGGCTTCCCAATCTCAGAGTATTTCCCTTAAACAGAGGAGTCTCAATTCATTCCAGGATATATGTCATTCTTAACTCTGCACATTAGAATCACTTGGATATGTTTTCACAATATTTCATTTGCAGGACCCACGCAGACCAATTGGTACAATCTCTCCTTTTAAGAACTTACAAGATTGGGAAACACCAATTGAGGTGTTTTGATTTTAAAACTATGCCCAGAGAAAGAAACATTCTTAGAAAAAGCTCTATTTTCTGACTGTTATAACACCAAGGTACAACCCTTTCTTTTGTTTTTGTTTCTTCTTCCTGGGTCTGATGTTAGAAAGATTTTTTATTTATCAAATTGAATAAAATAATAAAGTTTCTTTTTCCGGTTTTGTATCCTGCAAAAACAAAGTTATGAAAAGTAGACTGATTTAATTTGATCCAACTAATACCATCTTTAGTAGCTTTCCAAGTTTTGAAATACCAGGAATAACCTGCAGAACCTTTAGGATCCAAGACTGAGAGTCAGTGGTCTGGGTAAAATCTCTTACTTTCGAAATGAAGAAAGTGAGGCTCAGGGAGGTTTTGACAATGCTTAGAAAAAAGGCTGAATCAACATTCAAGTTTCTTGCTTCAATCTAAGTTTTTTAAACTACTGGTCCAGAACTTATATGACTGTTAGTTATTATTTCAGAGAATAATTGTCTCAAGTCACAACAACTCAGAGGAGAGAAACATTTGCCCAAAGATATTCTTATTTTTTTGTGATATGTAACATCTTCAAAATAAGTGGGAGTTAAATTTACTTAGCCATAGATTTAAAAATCTGGAGCCTTCATTTTCATTTTTAAATTACAATTAAAATAGCTCTTCTATGAAAAATAACACCTCAAAATATCAATTTTTAGTGCTAACAGATCTGCAGATTACCTAATAGTAATATAAAATATAGAAAAAGTGAATTATTTCTACCAAAAATATTTGGATTCAGTTCTGGTTTTGAACTTGGATATCTGCAAGAAAGTTTATAGGTGCTTTGGAAGTTTCCCTTATTGTCAAAGGAACAAACATTTTCATTAAAATGTATTATTTCTCTAAGGCCAGTGCCCAATAGCTTATGATACACATGAAAAAAACCACTGAGTTAATTCAATTCCAATTAATAGCAAAGAACCAGAGTTTGGGTAATTAATAGCAAAAGTAGAGTTTGGGTAACCTTTTGTTTTAGTACTCTTAACTCCTTGGTTTCAGGAACCCCTTAACACATTTAAAAATTACTGAGGACCCAAAAGAGATTTTATTTACTTGGGTAATATCTATTGATATTTACAATATTAGACATTAAATAGAGAAATTTTTTAAATATTTATTTTTAAATAACTATAAACCCATTACACATTAACATAAATAACATTTTTATGAAAAGTGACTATCCTACAAACACATAAAAATTAGTGAAAAGAATGGCACTGTTTTATATTTCTGAAAATCTCTTTAATGTCTGGCTTAATAAAAAACTGTTGCAGTTCCGTATCTGCTTTTGCTTTCAATCTATTGTTATTTTATTTTATTTTATTTCAAATAAAATAGCTCAGTTTAGTTTATTTTATTTGAAAAAATGTAGAGAAAATCTGGCTTCATACAGATACCTGAAAAAGGGAGTATTTTAAGAGCAATTTAAGGTAACTATGGATACACTTCTTTACTACTACACCAAAATTCAACATTGGTATTGCAATAAATCTTTAAGATTTATTGCAATGTGGAATCTGACTCCTTATCACTGAACTTTTCGTACTTTGTGACATTAAAATCTATTGGTCTATCTCACACTTTGAATCATCTTTTATCCATGCATGATTTTGTAACACTGGTTATTTCATCATGCACTGATTTCAAAAATATTGGTTTCTATGAATTATAATTACCTTCCAAATGTTAATAAAATTCACTATACAATATAAAAAAAAATCACATTTATTAATTGCACCACCCATCAGAAAAGTCTTTACTGGGAAGCTGTCAGATCATAGTGACAGACAGAAGTTTTCCAAAATTCTAATTTATGCTTGAAAGCTCAATTTTATTATTGGGAAGAAATGCTATCAGTTACTTTCCTTTAAATGTGCACTTTGTTCAGTTTTAAGGAAATGTCTGCCAAATAACCAAAACTGAATAACTCACATTGTACAGCAAACTCTCAAGGGGCATTCATGATCCCCACCCACGGTGTTTGCGTCCTACATGATTCTCTTTCTTTTAGTGTGGGCAAGGTATATGACTTGCTTCTAGCCGAGAGAATACAATAAAGGTGAGAGGATTACATGATTTTGTGTATGTGATTACATTACATATGATCAGCATGCCATTCTGCTACAGATTGTCTCTTGTGGGCTTTGAGCAAGTAAGAAGCCAAGTTGGGAAAACTCATATGGCAAAGCCAGCCAAAAGCCAGTCATATAGTGAAATTCTCAGTCTGACAACCTTTAAGAAACTGAATTCTGCCAATTACCGTAAGAACTTGGAAGCAGACACTTTGCCAGTCAAGCTTCAGATGAGACCGCAACCTCAGAGTCCACACCTTGAAAGTAGCCTAGTGAAACCCTGAAGCAGAGGATCCAGCTAAGCCATGACCTGACTCCTGACCCACAGAAATTGTGAGATAATGTGTATGGTTTTACACCATTAAGCCTGTGATACTACGATACACTAAAATAAATAATACACCATGGCTTGTCATGCTTTCAAGTAAAAGTAGTCTTCTATTTTTAAAAAGTGGGTAGTTTAGCTCACAAATGAATCACTTAAGTACTTTTCCTTAAGACGACCATCAAACTTCAGAAACAGTAGTGCTTTTGCATGCTATTTCATCATACAAAATATTTTTAAAAGACACATACAGGGGCACCTGGGTGGCTCAGTCAGTTAAGCATCGGACTTTGGCTCAGGTCACAATCTCACTATTCATGGGTTCGAGCCCTGCGTCAGGCACTGTGTTGACAGCTAGCTCAGAGCCTGGAGCCTGCTTCGGATTCTGTGTCTCCCTCTCTCTCTGACCCTCCCCTGCTCACACTGTCTCTCTCTCTTTCTCAGAAATAAATAAAACATTAAAAAAAATGTTTTTAATGACACACAGAAAGGTAGAGATTTAACAAAATTAGTAACATTAACATTTCATCAAGGAAATTATGCAGGAATATTTTTTACTGGAAGTGCACAATGGGGACGAATATAAAAAGTACTCATACAGCTTGGTACCACTGTCTTGATTTATAGTAAGGCACCAGCAGTTTGCCCATCATTACCTTTGTATCATCGGTGCATATGTCAACACAGTAGAAAAGGCAAATAGTGTCTTAGTATTATTATGAGAATAGCGGTGACTCCTAAATGCATGAAAGAGTCTCAGAGGAACCCCAGGGACAGAAGACTACACTTTGAAAACTGCTGCACTAAGGCAATGGTTCCATTTTAAGTATATATTTATACACACACACACACACGTACAAATGTATACAAATACATAGAAACTATGGGTTAGTCTGGATTGAAATCCCAGATCTATCATTTGCCATCTGTGTGACCTTGAATGAATTATTTAACTTCTGTGAGCCTCCATTTCCTCAAATATAAAACAGGAAAAATAGTAACTGCTTCTTCACAGGGTCGTTTAAGAATTCAATGACTAATTTATGTGTAGCATTTACAACAAAGCCTTTTTAATATTACAAATATTAACTATTACATTAAGTATTACTTTTTGTTAAGGATTTGTTAAATGAACTAAATTATGAAGGTATATTTTCAGGATAAAAAACTGCAATGTTCTCTCAAAAGGTTTCCAATTAAGAACTAAGAACAGTTGACCCAGTTTTACAATCTTTGCCGTTATGCAATAGTGATAATACTTTTATTCATGTTCTGTTATAGCAATTTTCAATACCTTACCTACTTAATTTAAGTGTGTTACCTGATTTACAAACAGGCTAGATGGGTAGTTCCTTCCATTATTACTCTGGATACTGGCTAAGACATCATATAGATGCATTTCCTGAGGCTGATAATGCTTTTATCGGATGACTACCCATGATAATACAGAATTTTAACTGGTATTGTTTATACTGATAAATAATATCCAATGTATCCCTGAGCTGTGTAGTTTCAGAAACACTTACAGGTTTAGACAAAGGCTGAACAATAACAGAACTATCTGAAGATCTAGATTCAGGATGAAAATTTACTGGCGAGGCAGCCACTGGATTTGATCCTGGGTTCGTGTAGTGTTGACTTGTAGGCTTGAATGCTGCAGTAATACCTGTATTTTAAAATTAAACAATACAATGAATATATTTTGATATAATCAATATCAAAATACTTCACTTTAAAAGTAAAATACTAAAATAATACTGTACCTCGACTGAGTGCACCATTCTTTATTCCCCTTGAATATGAGCTGGGGTTTACTCTATTCAAAATATCTATAAAAAATCATATTTATTTTAAAATTCATTATTTGAATAAAACATAGAAATCATGAATTGAAACAATCAAATAGAGTCCTAGAAGAAGTATATGTTATCACTGATTTAAGAATTCAGTTAATTTTAAACATATAGATCTTTATCTACCAAAGAAACAAGATTACTAGCTTTGTTTCATAGAATTAAAATAAGCTTTCTAATTGTAACGAAAAATCTAAAAGTCAGAAGTAAAAGATTAATCTGACTACATTTAAGTCAAACTTTCTGCAAAGTTTCTTTTATGGTAAAGAAACAGTCCACATAATAAAAATCTTCCAAAAATATATGTATATAAAGCCCATAATTAACACACACCCACACACACACACACATATATATATATATATATACACATATATATATCTATTTCTTTGAGTGATGATAGGACTGAATACACTTAGGATCTTATTACTCAAATATCAAACCATTATCCAACCTCCATATCCCACTCACACCTCTAGAAGCCTTGGAGGTGTCGTTATGAGGGATCTCAATTGGATTATGTGCAGCATCGCTCTTGAGTTTTTTTTTTAAATGTATTTATTTTGAGAGAGACAGAAAAAGCACAAGCTGGGGAGGGGCAGAGAGAGAGAATCCCAAGCAGGCTCCACACTCAAAGCAGAGCTTGACATAGGGCTCAATATCACAACTGTGATATCATGCCTGAGCTGAAATCAAGAGTCAGACACTTAACTGACAGAGTAGGAGTGCCTGGATGGCTCAAAGAGTTCAGAAAGGGAAAAACTAGCAGAGATGGCAGACTAAAACAACTTACAGTTTATCACAGTATCTTAGAACTTAAGGGATTTCAAATCTACCAGTATACCAGAAGTCAATCTGAGCCTAATATAACTTTCAGGATCACTTGAAAGTTCCTAGATTCTGGCATGTACATTACCTCTGTAACTTCTAGATTTTTTGTAATCAAATTAAAATTGGGATGAGTGGTTATTTGCCAAAACTTGCTGGTCAGGAAAAGGTAGAAGCACAAATAGTACCGACCATCATAAAAATTTCCCTTTTTCCCTCACAGTAAAAAAGAACCTGATCCCATAAAATAACTCTAAAAGGAAAAAGCCTCACAAAAGTAGAGCTGTTTTCTGATAATGGCAATGCAATACTCTGTACCTAAGCACTACAATGTCTTGTAGAATAAAAACCTGCTCAAACAATGTGACACCATTTTCAGTCAGATATTTAAGATTAAGTATTACTCAAACCATCAAAGAACTATTCGCTGAAGTATTGCATATACTAAAATATTTTATGGCTTATGCCTAAATAACAATAAATTCATTATTTATATTTTTACAAATAGTTTATTGTCAAGTTGGTTTCCATATAACACCCAGTGCTCATCCCCACAAGTGCCCTCCTCCATGCCCATCTCCCCCCTCCGCACCACACCCATCAAACTGAGGACAGATGGGAACAATAAATTCATTTAAATTCTGCATCTTAGCAGCCCAGAAAACAACTTCTACTGGGTCAATTTCCTTTTTGAAAGAATTATTCTAAAACTCATCTACATTGTTCTAGTTAAATACTGTTAATAGTCATCCTCAATTGTTATAAATTCAACCTGATCTTAACTATCATGTTTTCAGTATGAGAATTTGAGTCACTATTTTATAGTATGGTAATATTCTAATAAAAAATAATCACAATGACTAGACATAGTAATTAAGAGAATGTATAATTATGTTCCACTATCATCAACAAGCGTGCTATCATGCCCAGTTCAATGTATAATTGAAATGACACTTCACTTAGAACTTCTGTAAGAGATTATCAATCTGCCACAGGAAATGGTACTGAGGACTTAATTGGTTAAGTGATTCTCCCTCTAATAAAACTGATAAAACATTCCAAGTTCAGCGGCAATAGAAGAAAAAAAATTAAAAATAGCCTTTTAATCACACTTTTAAGCACTGTCTGGTAAGAAAACTCTTACAAAAGAATGATAAATTCACTGGGCAAATTCTTTGGTAAATTCACCTGGCTTGAACAAGCAAAGAAATAAATATGTACATGCAATAGGGAATGCTCTATTTTCTTTCTCCCCTAAAATTTGTATGTTATTTCTCTGCACTTTTTTACATTTTTGAGTGGACATTTTAATAAGCATCATTGGTCTTTGCTTTAACATTATAACTAAAATCTAGTAACCCTAACTAAAATCTAATAATCCACCAAACTAACAAAATACTGTGCTAGAAAGCCATTAAAGATTTAAGTATTAGCTAACTGCTATATCATCTAAGTACAGTGGCTGTAGACAGTGACTTTCTCTTTCATGAATATTAAATGCAAACCGTTAGAAGATGAACGTGGTCAGAAACTGCAGTCCGTGCTGGCACACAGACTAGAAACTGCAATTATTCTCTGCAGAATGTATGGATGACATTGTAGTTAGGCAGTTGCCTGGATGTGAGAATCCTTATCTGAGACTAACACAAACTTATTTGGTATATTCTGACATTTGAAGCAAAGTATTCTAACCCCTTTCATTCCTCTAATTCCGAGTTTAAATGGAAAAAAAAAAAACAAATAAATAGATTAACAGATTACTTGGCTCCACTAAAAATTTCCACTATAACAACACCTCCAATGTTACCAGCTAATCTTAGTCTATTTCTTTTCCTCACATCTGACATTCTAATCTCTTACCCTCCCCTCCTTCCTAGAGACCCTAATCACATCCCCACTCTAATTCTGTAATTCTTCCTGACCTCTCACCCCATCTTTCATCTCTAATGCCTCGCAAAGGAACAAGGACATAAGTTCCTTATAAAGCAGTTAAGTTTTCCCATTAGAAACAATATTTTATAAAACTTGGCTTCGCTAAAAGTAAATGCTTACTTGAAATTGCTGGTTTTGAACTTGATATCTCTCCAACAAAGATTGGCTCATCATCATCATCATCCTCAACCTCTTTTACTTTCTTCTGCCATGGTTCCAACTCTTCTTCTTCACATTCCATAAAGAGTTCTGCCATTTTTGAATTATCTGATGTTTCAAAAAAAGAGAAGCAAACCTTATTTTCAAAAAGAAATATGAATACATTTTTTAAAATTCATAGTATATTGAAAATCTACTTTAGTAATCCTAATAGCAATTTGTGACCTGATATTTGTAGATAGTACATGGCAACAAGTGAGAAACTCAGAGCTCACTTTCTAAGATACAAACCAATTTAGACAGTTAGGTCAATAATGGTTGACAGTAGTTATTTAATGGAAAAGTCAAAATCAGTTCTAGTTATATGCCTGGAATATAATTTTATCCATAAAAAGGACTGCACCTAACCATTATCTGAGAAAAAAAAAAAGTATTAACGGATGGGAGATAAACTAAGAGTAAGAGGTACGTCATGGGAGGTATACTAGAAAAACTAAACCAAATTCAGGAATTCAAGACACAAAGCAGGGATGAATTGCTAGACTAAAACAAGGGAACAAAGTGAGACTTATTCCATTTAGGGGAAATTAGATATTTCTCACATGGAGAAACAGACCAAAGAATATGCAGTAAATACGATCATACACCATCCTAGAAGTTCTGACCAAGAACAGAACTTGTACAAAGCATTTTAGTACTTCATTCTTAAATATGTTTAACGGACAATCAATAAGCACCAGAAATTTCAGGACAACCTTCTGTCTTTTAGACCCAATCAATAAAAAAGAAAAAGAATCCTAAAGAAAAGAAATAATGCAGAGAGCAAGAAAAATATTAAAAGAAAATATAATTTGCATCTTTAGAGGCATTAGATAAGAAAAAATGTTATAAAAAGTTAATATTCAGAAAACAAAAAAGAGGATTAAAAATATGACAGGAGCTCCTGGGTGGGTCAGTCGGTTAAGCATCCAATTCTCAATTTCGGCTCCAGTCATGATCTTGCAGTTCCTGGGATTGAGCCCTGAGCTGGACTTTGAGCTCATGACCTGAGCCAAAATCAAGAGGTGGATGCTTAACCAACTGAGCCAATGAGGCGTCCCTGGATTGTCTTTTTAAATTACGTGCAGGGGCGCCTGGGTGGCTTAGTCGGTTAAGCGTCCGACTTTTGCTTAGGTCATGATCTCGCGGTTCGTGGGTTCGAGCCCCGCGTCGGGCTCTGTGCTGACTGCCAGCTCAGAACCTGGAGCCTATTTCCGAGTCTGTATCTCCCTCTCTCTCTGACCCTCCCCTGCTCACGCTGTCTCTCTCTCTCTCTCTCTCCTAGAAATAAATAAAAAATAAATAAATAAATAAATTACGTGCATATATTGATTGCTTTAAGCTGAGATAGAGAAAAAAGGAGAGGAGGAGAAGGGGAATAGGGGAAAGAAGAGAAATAATACTAAAGGCCTAAACTTATATCTTAAAATGGATATAAGTGGTGCTTAACTGATATATGGAATGAGATGGGTGGTGGTCTACAAAACGACCAAACAAAAAACCCTCCAGCATTCTGGCTTTGACAATAATATTTTTCACTGATCATTTAAATATAGTCGATTCTAAAGGTAATTTTTTTATCATATTGAAGTCATGCCACGTCTACTTTTGACTCAAAGTTAGGACAATGTTCTACCAGGTCTTAAAAGATACTGAAACAATGCATGGGGATGGCATACAAAGGAAATACGTTATCAAATTAAGAGTCATTCTTTAATAAATTCTTAAGTTTTTTCCTTTTTATAAAAGTATGTCATAAGTCATTTCCTATCTTAATATTATTTAAATGTTAATAGTCCACCTACCAAAAAAAGAGGTCTTTACATTTTCCCAAATGTCATGAACATCATGAACTGATCCCTTTATTTTCTAAACTATACTGTTTTATTAACTATATAGAGTTCTTCAAGTAAAGTAACTAAATATATTACTATATGTCCAAGACCAAACTGAACTCTTTGAGTGTATTTCACTCTACACACTAGACAGGCAATAAGCACACTATATATATATATATATATATATATATATGGACTAGGAAACTAAGTGAAGTCATGCAATGCCTAATTTTTTAAAATTACGGAAACACTGTAAATGGATAATAAAAATTTCCAGTTAGTATATGTTACGGACTAAATTGTGTTTCTCCAACATTCGTATGTTAAAGTCCTCACCATCAGTACCTCACAATCTGAATGCATTTGGAGATGGGTCTTTAAGAGGTAATGAGGTGAAAATGAAGTTACGAGGCTGGGAGCTAATCCAATATGACTGGCGTCCTTAAAAGACGAGATCAGGACATGGATACATGCTTGAAGGTAAGATCATCTGAAGACACAGGAAACATATGGCCATCTCTACGCCAAGGAGAAAGACGTGATACAGATACTTCCATTATGGCTCTCAAAAGGAATCAACCCTGCCAACACTTTGAACTTATACTTCTAGACCCTAAAACTGTGAGAAATTCTGAAATAAATTTCTGTAGTTTAAGCCATCCAGTCTATGGTACTTCATTATGGAAGCCCTAGCAAACTAATACAGAAGACAAAGGTCTTCCTCATTCTTCTTAAAAGGGCACTGCCATTGTCAATACATTCAGGATATATTGTTGAGAAAAAAATTTTAAGACACATAATATCTTTACATCTTTTATAAATAATTCTATTTTTGTCTACATATAGAAAAAACATAGGTAATTATATATAGCAAACTAGCAGTTGTCATCAGGCATTAAGAAAAAAAAACTTCTTAATTAAAACTCACATTTTAATTTACATCATTTATTATGTAAGCATTTGTTACTCCAACAAATTTATGTTTTACTGTCTCTAAGAAAATGTGCCTACCCTTTATTCTTTCTACTGAAGCAAAGTTATCAGTATAAAAGCCACGAATACTAGTGTCAGTCATGGCAGCAACACTTACATTTTGGCTGAAAAGGGTTGTCGCCCATCAAGTTGCAGAGTTGACTTTCTGTAAATTGTCACCTGAGTACTGACACATGATATCAGTCAATTTTATGAGACACTTTAATGCCAAATATTGAAACATGAAACATTGGGTTCAAAAATTCTTGGATCTAATTCTGATCTCAAAACTCACCATGTGACTCCAGACAAGACAGCAATATATAACTGTTTTCCTTCCTGTAAAATAAAAGTACCTAGTATTAGAGTGGATCTCATAGAGTATACACATATTTAATCTTTTTTCCTATGAAAAGCTCAATTTTTACATTTTATATGTCTGACTTATACTTACAACTCACTTTACATAATTGGTTCATTCAAGAATTTAGTAACAAAAATGGTGATTCTCTTAAGTACTTACTACTTGAAGAAGTCTAAATTATTAAACTGTAAATAATTTTTAGAAATCTTTTTGTAAAACTGAGTAATCACCTCATAATATGTTGTTTTAGTAAGTCTGAATTTTCAAATGCTAAGTGATACTAATTTTTAAGTGTTACTTATTCACATTTCAGGTGTAAGTGTAATTACTTCCATAAGAAAACATAACTTTAAATAAATTATATTTTATATTTTTCTGATTTTTTTATCAAAGAACTTAAAAGGAAAAGAAAATTAATTGGATAGATTTCATTGTAGATTAATTCATCCAAAAATAACTACTCACTGGGGAACCTGGCTGGCTCAATCGAAAAAGCATGTGACTTGATCTCAGGGCTGTGGGTTCCAGCCCCAGGCTGGAATTAGAGATTACTTAAAAAAATAAACTTAAGGGGCGCCTGGGTGGCTTAGTCGGTTAAGTGTCCGGCTTTCGCTTGGGTCATGATCTCGTGGTTCGTGGGTTCGAGCCCCGCGTCGGGCTCTGTGCTGACTGCCAGCTCAGAGCCTGGAGCCTGTTTCAGAGTCTGTGACTCCCTCTCTCTCTGACCCTCCCCTGCTCACTCTCTCTCTCTCTCCTAGAAATAAACAAAACATTAAAAAAATTTAAAAAATAAAAAATAAAAAAATAAACTTAAAAAACGTAAGTACTCATTGTATTTTTTTTTAAGTTTATTGATTTTTGAAAAAGAAAGAGTGCAAGTGAGGGGGAGAGAGAGAGAGAGAGAAAGAGAGAGAATTGCAAGCAGGCTCTGCACTGCCAGCCGAGAGCCCATGTAAGGTTTGAACTCAAACGATGAGATCATCACCTGAACTGAGATCAAGAGCTGGGACACTTAACCAACTGAGCCACCCAGGTACCCCTTAACTCAATTATTTAAAATAGCTGTAGCTTATCTCTAAACTAGTATCCGTGTTACAAATATGTCAAGGAGATAAACATCTAGCAATTTTTGCTCATGTTAAGGACCTACATTACCAAGAATACAGAGTATTTTTTAACTGCCACAATTACACAGCTTATGAGACTCATACATATTTTTTGAGTAGGTATAATTATATTGGATTATATATAATAGTTAAATATTACATAGTTGACATATAGATATTTTTGCTAAGTGATCATACAAATTTCTCTTACCAAAATTCTGAAATTAGTATTCAATTTACAAATATTCAATTAATGAATGACTTGTCTGTATGATTAAGACTTGTCTGTCATATAATGCCTATTATGACAGAGAGGACTTTAAGGTAACCTACTTCAAAAGCCTGAGGAACATAGTAGCCTACTTAGAAACCTCAAGTGATACAAACACACTATAAAGTTGGGAGTTCTCAGATGTAATTTGAATCATAATTTCAGCCTAAAGCTGCCCTGTGAAATAGCCCTGTGACTAGCCACTAGCCACATGTGACGATTTAGTTTAAATTAATTAAAATTAAATAAAATTTAAAATTCAGTTCCTCAGTTTTACTAGCCAAATATCAAATGCTCAAAGCCACATGTGGTTGGTGGCTACTGTATTGGACAGTGCAGCTAAAGAACCTTTCGATGGGACACTTAACCAATAACTCATTGCCATATTTTGTTCTGTTAATGACCAAACACTTTCATGGATTCTTCTGGCATCTCAGCCACTAAGGCATGCCAAAATTACCATCATAAAAACCTCTCAGGTCACACTTCAGAATTTTGGTGGTAAAGGATGAAATTCTATGAAGGATTAAGTCTGTTGCTACTGAAGTGGAATATCCAGCAAAGATATGCAGTGTGGATTTCAAAGTTCCAAAACATCTCTAATAGTTTCTACACCTCAGACTTAGCTCCAAAATAGCCAGAAAAAAGAGAATACTTTACTTCAGCTACAGACTCATTTCATGACTATGTTTAATACACTTGTTTCTATGAAGAAAAAAATGAATCCCAATTATCTGATTTATCAGACTTTTAAGAAAATAATTCATTCACTGTTGTAAACTGCTTATGTAAGTAATTTTAATTCCTACTTCACTATTTTTTGTTTCAGCTTTTATATATCTAAAATTAAACTATATCTTAAATATTTTTTTCTACAAAAATTTTAAAAATCAATGAAAACATAGGTCTAAATTCTTAACTGAAAAATCTGCTTTTATCTACTGATAGCAATTGATCTGGTACATAAGCACACAGTATGGCACAGGTGTGCTATGTACTAGATATAGTTCTATTTACTTTCTGATAAAAGATTAATTCCACAAACTCCAACTGTAGAGTCTGCACATTAAAAAAGAGCGTTAGGCTAAGCCAGAATAAACAAGTTATAGCCCCAGCACTGCTACCACTTTCAGTCGAATCACTTTGCAATTCGGGGTCTCAGCTCTTAGTTCAACTAATAATCTCTACAGCTTAATTCAGCTCTCTACTGTATACGGTGTACTTTAAACATTTATTAACAATAAACAGTAAGACATGGTGAAGAATTAATGCCACATCCAAATTCTGACTCAACCATTTATTATCTGTATGACTTTTGGCAAGTTACTCTCTTGCCTTGCTTTACTATATACATGTAACTTATTTCATGACGTTATAGTGAAGATTAAATTAGATAACACACATAAAGCACACAGCTCTCTGCATGGAAATTATCCAATAAATCTTAACCATTTTTAACTCTTGGCTTAATCACATTTTGAAAAACTCTAAGAACAGATTAAAATTTTGTTATTACACTAGGATTTACAAGCTATCAGCTGAGCATTTAGAAATTATTTTGTCTTTTTAGATCTTCATTACAATATTTCTTTTCCATGATGAAAGGTTAGCTTCTAGAATGTAGCTGTCAAATCTATCCTACCATATTTTCATCTTTTTAAGAAAGAAACATTTATAAAGTAATGAAAACACACATAAAAAATTTTAAATCCTCATATAAATATAACACACATACCTATAATTCATCAATACTGTTAAAATATATATTACCAGTCTCATAGGATAAAACAAGTATCTAATTCAAAAATTCCAACATATAAAAATTAACATTAGGATAAAGTACCTTCTATCATTTCTATTTTAAAAAAAGCTTTCATTTTACACGCAACACTGTATTTTAATTTCTTTAAAAAAAAAATCCTTTTTAAAAATGAGTAAGGAGGGGCACCTGGGTGGCTTAGTCGGTTAAGCGTCCGACTTTCGCTTGGGTCATGATCTCGCGGTTCGTGGGTTCGAGCCCCGCGTCGGGCTCTGTGCTGACTGCCAGCTCAGAGCCTGGAGCCTATTTCAGAGTCTGTGTCTCCCTCTCTCTCTCTGACCCTCCCCTACTCACGCTGTCTCTCTCTCTCTCCTAGAAATAAATAAAAATATTTAAAAAAATAAATTAAAAAAATAAAAATGAGTAAGGCTTAGTGGGTTACAATTCTGACTTCGGCTCAGGTCACGATATCACGGTTTGTGAGTATGAGCCCCACCTAGTTAGGGTCCTTTGTCTTCCTCTCTCTCCGCACCCCCTACCCCCCCATCTCTCAAAAACAAAGAAAGAAACAAACACACACTAGAAGGTTTAAAAAAAAAAAAAAAAAGAGTATGTACCAAGTTAAAAAAAAAAAGTGGATGTGAGAAATACAATGAATGGTCAAGTTCTCTATCTCCCCAGGTCCCAAAAGTCAGTCAATAAAATAACCTGAGAAACCACATTATAAAATTAATCTGTTTTCTTATCATCATAAAAATGTTTTAATAGGGGCTTTGCATTCCTAATCAAGAAATCAGCAACACCAAAACCAGATAGAATTAACATAAATGGGAAAATACAAAACCAAAAGATAATCATTTTAAATAATAAAAATTTTTACTCAAAATAATTATAGCATATATGAATCATGTTCAACTAACTTATATATTTTGTCTAAGATTAACAAGCTAGCTGTAAGAAACACTAAACCTTTAACAATTTTACGTATGTACCTGGAAGAGTTTTTCAGTGGAGTGATTTGGATAACACAGGGTCACTGGAACACTGTTCAGAAAAGTTTGATCTGTCACTCTTTTCCTCTTACAAATTTCCCGAAAAATCAGATATTCAAATCATTCTACTGACTTTAAAGCTTTGGTTTTGTTCTTTTTCATTTTATAAACAATTCTTAGTCTTTTCACCAATGGCATACTGAAAAGGAGGTCTATATTTTTGGAATTCTAATCCCAAATGAATACAGACAGCTTTAAGGATTCAAAGTGGGTTCTTAACTATGAGTACCAAACTAGTATTTCCAACCTTTGTTTTGTGATCTCTCAAGAATTTCCAACTATCTCAAGGAGATTACAAAAAAGAAATCATTTTAATGTTCATGATCTTAAAAATAATACATAATCTTTTGAGGACAGAGAGTCATCTTAAAAATTTCATTTTTATATCACCTTAATACCCATCACCTATTGATTGCTTCCACTGTGGAAATTGTAACAGGGTTAGAAAACAGAGAATGATAGCTACCCTGGCATATATCACGCTATTGCTATTCAACCCTATGTAATTGAAAAAGACTCACAACTGACATTTGATTTCAGAAAATTTAAACTTGTTTAAATATACGATTTTATAAAGAAATTAACTTAGTAAATTTATTTACGAACATTAAGCAGATGAAACAAAATCTCAAATCAGCATTTCCTCCTTTTATGCCTCCTAGTTTTTAAAATACTTTATTGTTAGAAAACTAAGTACCTATCTTTTTTTAGAATCAGTCCAGTTAATCAGTTACTGTGGAAAACTACAGACTTATTCCTGAAAACAGGGCACATTTCAACCACATAA